CTGCCTGACCTCTTAAGGCTCAGGGCTGAGGAGGAAGGAACAACCATTAAGAGTGTAATTCCTACGCTTTCTGTGGGGCAGGAACAGGACTTATGTCATCTCCATTGCTGGATTTTTCTGTGTGTCATACTGCTTGTTCCTATTTCAGAATGTTTGGGGGCAGAAGTTTCTGCAAATTCCTCTACCATGGAAGGCTCTACCCTGACCCAGTGACAGCCTCCAGCTTGCTCATTTTTTTTCTCTCTCTCTGTCTCCCCCATCCCCTCTTCCCTTCACTCACCAGAATTGTCTCCACAGACCAGAGGAACAATGTAGGTGTAAAGAGGAGGGAGAGGGACTGCAGCCTCCATGGGTGGTGCCCAACCCCCCCCAAAAAAAAAAGAAAAAGAAAAACTTTCTTGCTTTTTCTGGAATATGGCAGATCCAGCCTGGGGAGTGGTGGAGCCCACACTGTTGATTAAGTCTGGTTGCGTGTGGATTCAATGTCAACATTCAGGGATTCAAAAGCTGGAATCTCCATAAACCTTTCCATGAATCCTCTGCTAATCAGTGGAGACTCTAAAAGTGCAGAAAACAAGGACAGATGGAGGCTGGGGTTCCGTAGGAGGGAAGCAGGAGTGCGTTGGAGAGGTGAGACAGCATGGAAGGAGCATCGGCAGGCGGAGGCAGGAGACCAGGGTTCAGATCCCACCTCTGCTCTCTCTTTGTTGGCAGTTGGCCCCTCAGAGCCCCAGCTTCTCTTCCGCAGCTCAGAGAAGTCACTTAGGATCCCTGTTCCCTTTGGGGGTGAGTGTCTCTTTCGGAGGATGTTTCCTGGCCTGGAAGATCAGGGTCTTGCTGGCTGTGGTGGAGCACAACTGCAATCCCAGCGACTCCAGAAGCTGAGGCAGGAGGTGCTCAAGTTCAAGGACAGCGTGGGTAACGTAGTGAGACCCTGTCTCAAAATTTAGAATAATAAAAAATAAAAACAAAAAGGGCAGGGTATATAACTTGGTGGTAAAGCAGCCAGGAACTTGATCCCCAGTACCTCCCGAAATACACACACACACACACAATCAGAGTCTCGACGTCATGCCCCCTACCAAAGAAAAGATCAGTCCAACTTTCTAATCCAAAAAATCAAGTCCTGTCTGTCAGGGGCCAAATACCTCTCCAGTCTCATCTCTCACCCTACCTCCATGGCTTTTCTCATTCCAATAACCCTCTTGTCTTTGAAGACTCAGCCCATATCATCTCCCTTAGGAACCCTTCTCCAGTCTCCCACCCACTGATTGATTTAACTGCCCCTTCTCTGGTCTCCTGGAATATTCTGGGCATAACTCCATTAACAACTATTAATTACAACTGAAGTTTATTGTGCCTGGACCTCTACCAGGGCTTTTACCCAGTACCATTTAATTGAATTCAAACCATACCCATGTGAAGGGGCTGTCTTTATCCCCATTTTCCTAGTCAGGACACTGGGCTTGAGGGAGGTGAAGGGTGAACACTGGGGATGAAAACCCAAGGCAGTGTGGTCCCCAAACTGTGCCAGTCTTCTTACATTGTCTGCCCACCCTCCACCCTGAACACAAGAAATGGTGGTTTTCTGTTTAGGGTTGTGTACTTGACCTTCCTTTGACCTATGAATAGAAGTGCAGGGTCTCAGCTCCTTTTGCCTCTATCCCATGCCTGTCATTGTCCCAGGAGGGATTGAGTCCAAATCTCACATTTTCAAATCTATACATTTGAAGTTCCCTTCCTTCCCTTGGGAACCCAAGAAGAGCGTGAATGTACCAGGGATCCTCCTTGGTCTAGACTAGTGTCCCCTCCCACTAATACACATTCATACCCACCTAGGTTTAATCCAGGTAAGGGACCTCTTCTCAGAGTTCATGGTCACATGTGCCAATGTGCCAAGCCCTGGGTCAACCTCCCTCAGGCTTTAACTCATTGAACCTCACAGCCAACTATGAGAAAGATAAGAGTATGATTTCCATTTTACAGATAAGGGAAACTGAGGCTTAGAGGACATCCTAGAAAAGTGGGTGGAGCCAGCAGGGTCACTTGACTCTACAGTCCTTTAGTTTCCCCACTGCCTCCCTTCTGATCTAGACAGGGCCAAACAAGGGAGAATACTAAGAGGACAAGGATTGTAATTCATCTTTCATCACCCATGAGCTGTTGGCCACACCCAGGTACCATGAAGTCAGTTGTGAAAGGCTGGGCAGGGCAGTCCCTGGCACACAGCAGGTTCCCAGTAACTGTTTATTGGCACAGGTCAGCGGGGCAGAGGTTATCACCTTCATTTTATAGATGAGGAAGTTGCAATCAGAGACAAATAGGAAAGTTGCCCAAGGTTATCCCTGAGTCAGAGGAAGAGTAAAGACTTGAACTCAGAACACTGAGTTCAGAACACAGTAGACCTTGGGTTAAGTAAGAGAAAGGAGGCCACTGCAGGGCTGGGACACTGGGCAGGGCTTTCCCACTCAGATTTTTCAGGCTGACAATTTTTATGGGTCCTGTAAGTCACTGGAACATGTCCTCATCCATCTCTACTCTAATGACCCTAAATCAGGCCTTGTCCCTTTCAGGGAAGTTGGGCTCCAGGTAGTCTAGACTCTGTGACAAGTGACTATTTTATGGTAGCCCAAGACTGGATCTGGGGCTGGGAGATAATGCTGGGAAGGTTAAGACAGGAATGAGGAGCCTTCCACGTGCATGACTCCAATGTCAGAGACGCCAGATAGGTGTATCCCCTGACTATCCACAGCACCATTCTCAGCCTCTGCAGTGCCATCATTAAGATGCATCTGTGAGCAAGTGAATGTCCAAACCACACCCACTTACTCAGAGGGACACCCCCACAGCCTGGCCCAAAAATATACCCAGGGCCCTCCCACCCTCCTCTCCCTTAGCCCCCACCCTGCAGTGCAGTGGATTTTTAAGTGGGTCCAGAAGTTACTGATCAAAACCCCTTAACTGGGCTGGGGATGTGGCTCAAGCAGTAGCGCGCTTGCCTGGCATGCGTGCGGCCCGGGTTCGATCCTCAGCACCACATACAAACAAAGATGTGTCCACCAAAAACTAAAAAATAAAATATTAAAATTCTCCCTCTCTCTCTCCCTCTCTCTTTAAAAAAAAAAAAAAAAAAAAAAAAAAGCCCCTTAACTCCATCAAGTCTCACTCTTGTCAGGCAGTTGACATGGGTCCTAGGGACCTTCTGGATTTTTATTTTTATTTTTTTTTAATGAAGGGAGTAGTACTAGGGCTTTGTGCATGCTAGGTAAGCACTCTATCACTGAGCTACATCCCCAGCCTTTTAAATTTTTATTTTGGGACTAGGTCTCCCTAAATTGCTCAGGCTAGCCTTGAACTTGTGATCCTTCTGCCTCAGTCTCCCGAGTTGCTGGATCACAGAGACAGGCATCACTATGTCCTATGTCCAGCACGGAGTAGTCTTAATTCCCAGGGACAGGCTTCTTTTTTCAGACCTATGAACACGAATTCTCCCCCTGCCCCCAAGAAGCTCCCTAGAAGAAGGTGTGGAATCCTTCCCCTGACTGTTATGCTTCCAGGTTGGAGATTAAATTCTAAAACAGTGTAGAAATTCTAAGCCTGATTTAGACACCCCCTGTAGGATCAAAGCTGCTCTGTGAGGCTGTGTGATCCTGGGCCAGAAGAGTCAGCCATGAATCTAACCAAGGAGGAAGCCCCTATGCCTTGATTGTTCTGGGGAGGTCGATCCCCCTTCAGTAGTCCCTAACCCAGTTCAAAGGCTGGTAGAGACTGGGAGATTGGCAACGGATGGGGAAGTGGCTGGACCAGAGAAACAGGGCTTCCTGTTGATGGAGGGGTCCACTGGCTGATTCCCTGTCCCCCCCACCCTCAGTCTGAGCTTCCTAAACTTCCATGGAAGCCCTCACCACCTGGAGGTGGCTGGGGAGAGGAGGACCACATCTAAGAGAGGACACAAGAGACCACTGCTTGGATAGAGAGGACAACTCCATTTCCCCACATTTTGGAACCTCCTTCAAGGAAAGGAGGACTTTCTCTGGACTCTGGAGATCCTGGCAGAAGGAAAAACTCGGGGTGGATTCAGGCAGACCCTGGTCTCTTCTCTTACCATCTTGTCTATTGGGTTTGGGGGAACTCAACAGGACCTAGCTCCTCCCTTCTGACACCATCGGTTTCTCCCTCATTGAGTCTCTTTTGCAATTCACTCCTCACTTCTGTCCCTTTATCCCCTCTCCCAGCTCTGGTCATCAAATAAAGTCGGGCAACAGCAGTTTAGGGACAGCTTTGCTTTATATGGGAAGAAGGGTGTTTGGTCAGCTTAAAAGTTAAATTTCCGGGGGGCGGGGGTGGGGTGGGGGGCTGGGGTTGTGGCTCAGCCCTAGGGCACTTGCCTAACATATATGAGGCACCGGGTTTGATCCTCAGCACCACATATAAATAAATAAAGTACAGGTATTGTGTCTACTTACAAATATATATATATTTAAATTTGCATCCTGGGAGGAAAAAGAGATGATATACAGAGAATCAGCAACCACTGCCTGAGAGACAAGAGAACCTTCCTACTGAGTCACCGATTCAACAAACAGTTTTGCACAGCCTTTAACTCGCCCATCTCTCCGAGGTTATTTCCACCCATCCCTACCCAAGGCATTCCAAATACCCACTTTGAGACCTCTGAGCAATGGTTGGCATCAAAATGATGGTAGTCGGGAATCTGGGGCACTCACCCCCGGTGGATCAAGTACCTTGTGGTGTCGCTTCCCTGTTCTCAAACCTGGGATAGGGAGGGAGCGGAGCAGAAAAGGTGTTGTTTCTGAGCCAGAGGATGTGGAGTGGGTGAGGGGTCCTGGTCCACCCAGCAAAGGGTGACGGGGCGGGGCGGGGGACAGGGGAGAGCGGAAGATTTCAGATCAGAGACTGGACGCGGCGAGGGGAGGGAACGACCCGCCAGGGGGAGGAGCCGCCTCCCGACGCCTGCTGTCGGGGCTCCCTCCCGTCGCGGCTCAGCTATAAAACCCTGGGCGGCATGATCGCGACACCCCCCGGACACACACACGCGGGATCCTTGGTGCGCGATCCCGGGCTTGGCAGCTTCTTTGCTCTGGCGCATCATGTGGCTGCTGCTTGGTTTCCTGGCCCTTGCCACTGCCGGGCCCTTGGCTTACGCAGGTGAGCGCGCCTCAGGAAGCCCTCGGGTGGCCCCTTTTGCTCACCTAGCTCTGTTCTGCTTCGGACGCTCGCCGGTACCGGCTGGTGCGCTCCGGCTGCGCATCGTCCCGGGTTGCTTGTGCACGGAGCTGTGTGCACCCGGAGAGGCTAGACTGAAGCCAGATGGGGCCCTGCGCGAGCTCGTGTGCGCACACACGTGTCCGCTGGCCGGTGCCGGGGAGTGTGTGCACACGTGTGAACTATTGCGGTGTGTGTGCGCGTGGCCCGGCGGCCCACGGCGAGGCGGGTGTATGAGTCTGTGATAAGGAAGCTTCCCGGACCCGCCTCGACGCACGCCTCCTTTTCTCACCTTAATCTTCCTTGGTCTGTCCGAGTGTGGCCGTCCATCCTGCCGCAGCTCAATGCTGGGGCTGGCACTGACCCAGGGACAGCAAGTGGGGGTACATTTGGGATACCGGCGTTCCCCTCTTCCCACCCTGGGTTCTTTGCTCCGAGAATTGTAGGCTTCCCTTTTCTCCCCAATCCCCAGTGCTGGATTTGGATCCCGGCGGGGGTCACCTGGAGACCCGAGGTCCCGGCTGAGCCGGTCTTTCCGGACAAGGTGATTTTCGTTTAAAGATTAATGGTGAGGCCGAGCTCTTAATTATTCGTCTAGGTGGGAGGTAGCAGGAGAGGCGTGTTAATATTTGATAAGGAGCTAAAAGCGCTTTCAGTGGCTGGCACCTGCTCTGCTACCCCGTAGTCCTTCACAGGAAGACCTCATCTGCCAGTCCCCAGGCAAGTTACCCCTGGGATGTTTCTTGGGATCCACCCTGGCCAAATCTTCTATGTTCTCTGCTCTTGGAGTCATGGAGTGAGGGGCAAGGGTGTCCTCAGAGGCAGAGAGGGAAAGAGTGTGTGCCCTTTGCGGGAGGGACTTAGCTGGCCGAATGGGTATGGGGATGAGAGGCATCTTGCAGCAACTCCTAGGGCCCCTTCCCTGGGGAGGAGGAAAGAGGAGGCAGAATGTAAAAATAAATTCATTTGTGGAGTTGGGCATTTCAAACCCACTAAGCAATGGGGTTTAGTAGGAAAAATACCTATTTGCATTTAATTTGGGAGCATTGCAGTTGTATGGCCTTGGGTGAGTCATTTAACCTGTTTTCTACTTTGCAAAACGGGGAAAGTAATTCTGATACTAGGTGTTGTTCTAAAGTTTGGAGTAAGGTTATGGTGTGCTTGGTGAAGGACCTTGGAATGTGATAAGTGCTGCCTAGTGATGGTTATGAGGCCAACTGGTCAGAACCTATCTCAGCTGACCCCCCTTGCTCTAACTGGGCTCCCTTTTTTAGCGCAAGTGCTTTCTGAGTGGGACTCATCCCATCAGGGTCTTAAGGCCACAGAGTGACCAGGTTGCACATAGAAATTCCCAGAGATTGCTGCTCCCATAGGTGGGGAAGTAGTTAGTTCAGGGCTGAAGCACTTGCTACACATGTACAAAGCCCTGGGTTGGCTCCCCAGTTCTAAAAAAGAAAAGACCCAACAAACAAACAAAAATCTCAATCAGATATTTCTTCTCCCATTGAGAGAGAGGGAAGAGAGAATATTGGCCCCCATCAGAGCCCCAGACCCCTGGCCAGGAGGTGTTGAGACTTTGCCCAGGACATACTTGGGTTTTGCTGAGCTAGTTTCCAAGATTCCCCCTTCCCTCAGAGAGAGAGAGAGAGAGAAAGAGAGAGAGAGGGTGGGGAGAGCAAGGTCCATTAGAGCTTCTTCTGTCATTTCTAAAGAAGGGTGTTGGATAGTAGGTAAGTTAAGGTGGGGGACAGTATTTGAGTGACTAGCAGGTGGACTAGGTAAGATCTGGGTCTGGGAGCCAAAACCTGAGTAGGCTCTCTTCTCCCCAGACCCTCTTGCAAGTGACAGTGGGCTGGTAATTTTCTGCAAGTGTGGCCCTTCCTTTAATGAATACAAACCTGAGCTGATTGGTGCCCTGCCACCTCTGGACTGAAAGCCAGAACCCCACCCTCACTCCATAGACACAGACCTGACCCCTGGCCTTGGTCTCATCACCATTATGTTTTCTTGGCTTCTGCCTCCTGAAGAGGGTAGTTACAAAAGTGTTCAGCCAGGCAGGTCAAAAGTCTCTATGATTAAGAGAGTGGATCAGAGGTCACCACTACAAACCTAAGAGCAGAAGCCAGAGCCTGGGAAAGGCAAATTCTTAAGAAAAGCTAATCCTGGACCAGATGGGCCACCAGAGAGGTTGTGTGGGGCTCTACCCTTCAGAACTGGCTCCCGAGAACTCTGGCTTGGGCATGGTTTCCTGAAATAACTCCTCTTGGTCATCCATCACAGAGGAGAGGCTGGTTCTCCTCCAGAGGCATCTTCTGCCTCCAAGACTTCTGAGGGGTGGGGATATGACAGGATGATAAGGAGGCACCTGTCTTGGTGTGAATGACCGTCAGTCCTTCATCTCATAGCACAGGAACCCTGGTAGTAGCACCTTCTGTTGCAGGAGGGGGATGGGGCTCAGAAAAGTGAACTGCGTTTCTTGCAGAGATTAAGCTAAAGGAGGAGCAGGGCTGGAAGGCAGGAAAACAGACTCAGCTCCAGACTCTGCCTACCCAGGGGTGGGGGCAGGGTGCTACTCAGTGTTGAGCAAGTGATTCCTTCCCTGGCACTCCCACCCAACAGAGAGAGAGAGAGAGAGAGAGAGAGAGAGAGAGAGAGAGAGAAATGTTATGCCTTCAGGAAGGGGCTTTAGGGGAGGTAGCCAAAGCTCTTGGCAGAGTTGACCCACATGGGGGTTCTCCTGATGCAGCAGCTGGAGGTGGGGGGTTGGACAGAGGGGAAGACACTGCATTTCTAAAAAAAAGGCCATGCCAGCAGGGTAGCTGGAGAACTGGTCCACAGCTGGGAAACCTGAAAACCCAAGCAGCTCTTGGGGGTTGGGTTGGGGGCAGCTTCCTGGGGCGCTCACTCTCCTGGCCTAGAAATTCCCCCACCCCCACCCGGAGTGTGGCTTCCTCCCCACTCTGTCCCCCTTCCAGGGACTCCTTCTCAGGCCTAGATCTTCCAAAAGGAGATGAGCTTGTGGGGGAGCCCAGGCAGGAAGGGAACCGGTATGTGCTCAGAGGCTGAGCAGGGAGCAGTGCTTTTCTTAGGAATTTCCTCATCTCTGAGTTCTTTCCAATTTGCTCCATGTGTCTCCTTTCCTGTCCCTCCTTGGCTTTGGCCATCTGCTCACTGACAGAGGGGGGAAGGCAGGGGGAAGGGACAGACTTGTCCATGGGACTTGATTCAGAACTATACCATCCCTCATACAATTCTCCCCACAGCCCGATGGGGTGGGTGTGTTACTCCCACTTTAGAGATGATAAAATTCAGGCTCAGAGAGATGAAGGAACTTGGTCCTAAACCCACAAGCTCCTGAGCAGCTCAGCCAGAATTCTACTATTAGGTGCAATGCTTTATTCTTCCCCTGGGACAAGTGTGTTTTTCTTTTTTGGTGGGACTAAGGATTGAAGGCAGGGCCATGTATGCTAGGCAAGCAGTCTACCACTGAGCTACATCTCCAGCCCTTTTTATGATTTTATTTTGAGGCAGGGTCTCAATAAGTTGCCAAGTTGAACTGGCGATCCTCCTGCCTCAGCCAACCCGCATCATCCCCTAATTGATGAGATCACATGCATGTGCTACGACGCCCATTTTTAAAATATATATATATTTTAGTTGTTGATGGACCTTTGTTTTATTTATTTATGTTTATGTGGTACTGCAAATCAAACCCAGAGCCTCACACATGCTAGGCAAGCGCTCTACCACTGAGCCACAACCTCAGCCCCCCTCACCCTTTTTAAAAGCTTTATTTTTAGAACATTTTTAGGCTTACAGAAAAATTGAGCTGAAGGCTTAGAGGGTTCCCACAGGCCCCCTCTGTCCTGCACATAGCTTCCCTGATTATTCACAACTTGCAGCCATATGATCAATGTGTGGGGCAGCATTTCTTCAGACTTACTGGAGTCTTCTATTTTCAGACAATGGTGTGAGGGTTTAACCAAGAATCTCTCTGAACAATACTAGGGGGCATTCCAGGCAGGGCTCGCCCAACCTCCTCCCTCCCCTCCATCAGCCCTGGGATGGCAACTAGCAGCTCCCATTCTCCTCCTCCCTTCTCACCTAAACTTCCTCCCAGGTTCAGGGAGGGAATGAGGGAGGGAGAGGCTGATGACCCTTGGGTGCAGAGGGCTGAGGTAAGCTCCAGGGATGGAGCTGACAGTCACAGGGGGGCCCCTGAGGATGGGGCCCTAGGCAAGATGAGCAGTCCTTGGGTAGGTTGGGAACATTCCTGGGTTTTCTTATCTTCTCCTTTTCCTGGGCTCTCATGCCCCGCAGGGAACATTCCATACCACCCCAAGGGAATGCTTCAACCCCAGGGACATTGCCTGCCTCTGATCCTCCTGTGTACACACGAAGTTGTGAGCACATGCCCTGGTACAGAGGTCTGTGCTCACAGCTACTCTGACCTAAACACAAACACGCAGAGGCCTCATGTTCTTCCTCTCTCTGCCCCAGAGTCACATTGGTGCTACGATGTTCAAGTCAACTGCTCTGCCAGCTGCCTTGGTGAGTACAACCAGTCTTGAGGACAGGCCCTGCTGCATGGTAGAGTCCATTCAAATCAAAATGGAAGTAACTCCCCTGGGGGTTACTTCCTCCAGGGAGGTGAGGAGGATGAGGAGTGACCATAGGCCCCTGTCAGACATCTGTTCCTTCTCAAATACATTCACACTCACATAGAGTGCTTTTGCTGGTACCTCCTGTCACTTTGAGGGTGAGTTCCCTGGGAAATAGGTCAGCAACAGCTATAAAGAGGCAACACAGTGGATCATTGGGGAGTTGGCTCTCTTCCAGTGATACCCTTTCTGGTGGGAGATGGTTCTTGGCTCTTTTTTTTTTTTTTTTGTACTAGGGTGCTTTATGACTGAGCCACACCCACAGCCCTTTTCATTTTTTATTTTGAGACAGAGTCTCCTTAAGGTCACCCAGGCTGGCCTTGAACTTGTGATCCTCCTGCCTCAGCCTCCTGAGTCACTAGGGTTACAGGCACGTTCCATGGTGCCTGGCACTTGGCACTTTTTATTCAAATCCTGACCAGTTTCCCTCAGGTCTGCCATCTTCCTGCCCTGCTGTGTTGAGTGACTGCCAGTGGCACCCCACTTCTTCCCCTGCAAATCTGGGGGTTGATGTCACCAGGGCGTGTGGAGCCAGGCTCCCCTGGGGATTACTTCCTCCCTCTCACTCCTCAGATAATGCTGTGTCATGTTTGAGGTTCCTTTCACGGTGGCTCTTTCAGGAAGCCCCGCTGCAAGGCTTCCTAAGTCATCTCCCCTTCAGTGACTTCACTCTTCTAATGCTGCCAGGAAGCAGGTTACCATCAAAGTTCCCACTTTATAGTTGAGAACACCAGAGCTCAGAGAGAGATATGCCCAGCATTTCGAGGTTGTCCCTACCACAGCCACCAGCAGGCAAGCCTGTTCCCACCCTGCACCAAGCCCCTGGAACTGGCCTCCCTGACTTTGCCTGTGTGTGACTGAGGAGGAGGAAGACAGTGGGGTGGGGTGGGCTGAGTGCTGAGTGGAGCACCCCCACTGCAGTGCCCTCCCCATCCCAAGACTTCCCCGCCTATGGGCTGATGGTGGCGCCTAAACTCAGTGATGTGGAGGTGGCCCTGAGTCTCCACCCCCTCCCCCCTGCTCAGGGCCCAACCAGTGGGGTGGAGACTGCCAGAAGAATCACCAGTCCCCTGTCAACATCGTCACCAGGAAGGCGGTGAACTACAACCTGGGACGCTTCTCTTTTTCTGGCTATGATAAAAAGCAAAAGTGGACAGTGGAAAATAATGGGCACACAGGTGGGTCTCAGGGGGTGCTGGATGGAGGTTAGAGGACCGGGACAGGCATAGGTTTCTGTGGCAGGGACCCCCGAGGCCCTGAGCGCTGGGAGGGAAGGGGTGCTCCAGGCCCAGGTCCCCTTTGCTGAGGAGGGGAGGGGCCATCAGAGAGGACTTTCCCAGAGGAGGGACACTGTAGCTGTTTTCAGTCATTTCATCAGACTAGTCTGGGGTGGGGGAGGGACCGTTCCAGGAAGAAGGGACGACCTTTGCAAAGGCATGGAGGCGTGAAGCAAGGTGTTCAGGGAACTGCGAGCTGTAGTTCTGTGTGCATGGAGGACCGGGAATAAAACTAGGAGGGGCGGAGCACGGCCAGGCCAGGTCACCCAGGGCTGAGGAGGTTGGACATTACCCTGACCAGGCCAGGGCATCACAGAGGGGTTGAGGCAGAGGAGAGACCAGGGCAGAGTTGCATTTTGGGGCAGTGGGGTATGTGCAGACTAGGGAGAGGGAGGCAGGGAGGCCAGCTAGGCATTCCCCGTAGGGTCTGGGGCTGCATCACCCCATCCAGGCCCAGAACTGGAGCTCAGAAAGTGGGGGAGGTAGGAGAAGGTCCTGTCTGTATGGAGTTGTCATGGGGGGCTGGGAGAGGCTGAAGGGAGGCTGGTACAGGGATTGGGCCCCTTCCTGTGTCCCCCAGTGATGGTGTCGCTGGGAAATGAGTCCAGGATTTCTGGAGGAGGCCTGGCTGCGCCGTACCGGGCCACGCAGTTTCACCTGCACTGGTCTAAGGAGCTAGACAGGGGCTCGGAGCACAGCCTCGACGGGGAACGCTTTGCGATGGAGGTGAGGTCTTTTCCCAATGGGTGCCTCAGCTAGGCTCTGGGTGTGTAACCATGGTGGGCAAGGGGGTGTTCTATCCCCCTCACGGGTCCTCTCTCACCCTTTCCCAGATGCACATAGTACATGAGAAAGAGAGGGGGACAAGGAGCAATGAGAAGGATGGGCAGACTCCTAAAGACCAGACTGCCGTGCTGGCCTTCCTGGTGCAGGTAGGACTCCCATGCCCAGCGCCCAGCGAGCCGGGCGTGAGGAGTGGCTGCTTAGAGGCCTGGGGGAGGCAGGCCGATGCCCCCCAAGCCCGAGAGGCACTCAGAGCCTCAGTCCTGGAAGCTGCCTCTCCTCCCCCAGATCAGAATGAGCTGGCAGTCACTAGTGGCTCCCCGGGTCCCCTGCCAAGCCCTCTTCCCTTCTATTTCAGGAGGGGAACAAAACAAACAAGGGTTTCCAGCCCCTGGTGGAGGCTCTGTCCCATATCCCCAAACCTGGTGAGTCTGGATGGGGAAGGAGGGCAGGTGAGAGGAGGGAGCTTCTCCCCACACCGGAAGGGCAGGGGTAGGGGGGCAGCTGGCAGTCAGGGTGAGGTGTATAAGGGTCTCTGACCCCCAACCCCAGAGATGAGCACCACGATGAGGGAGAGCAGCCTGCTGGACCTGCTGCCTGAAGAGGAGAAGCTGAGGCGCTACTTCCGCTACCTGGGCTCGCTCACCACGCCAAGCTGCGCTGAGACTGTGGTCTGGACCGTGTTCGAGGAGTCCATCCAGCTCCACAGGGACCAGGTACACAGTACCAGGGCAAGGTGCAGCCTCCCACCGCCCAGCTCCTCAGAAATCATGCTTTGGTTTGTCCCCAGAGGTCCCCTGAGGTGGGGATGCCCAGGGAACGGAAGTCCATTAATTCAATCTTTGGACACTCCATGGAGCAGACAGATGAGGAAGATCCGACCTGTTTCTTTCCCGCACTGAGGGTTGAGTGGAGGCTGTGAAAGGGGATGATCACAAAAGGTTCCCAGAAAAGTCAGTGGGAGTCAACCCTGCTGGTGTCCTAGGGAGAGGTGTCAGCTTGGGGGAGGGCCTGGGGCTGGCGGGTAGTTGCTCAGTGGCAGGAGGAAACAGTTCATTCATTCAGAAACTGGTATCTGAGTCTCCATAGTCTACTAGCCTCTGGGGAGACAGCAGTAAGCCCCAAGGACCCCAATTGCTACTCTGTGGTACTTTTGTTCCACAACATTGATTCTTAAGGTGTGGTCCCTGGACTAGTGACATCAGCACCAGTAGCAATCTGCCAGAAATGCCAGTTCTCAGGCCTTAACCCAGACTGGCTGAATCGGAGATTCTGTGGGGTGGGGCCCATCTGGAGCCCAACAAGCCCCTAGTGGATGTTAATAGATGTCAAGAATGAGAATCCCTGTGCTGCAGTGAATAGTGACAGTGGTAGCAGTGATGGCAAATCCTAGCCCTTCAAAATTGTGAGTTAAAATAATGGAAACTTAGCCCCCTATCAATGCTACGTAATTTACGTCCCTTGTTTCTTTCATCTTTATGACAAGACAAGCTGGAGAGTTAATGATTCTGAGCATCTTTTTCCTAGTGAGGGCTTAGAGAGGTGAGGTGACTGGCCTGAGGTCACAGAGCAGGGAGTGTGGCTCCACCTGAGCCCTGCCTTCCTTCCACAGATCCTGGCATTCTCCCAGAACTTGTACTACAACAAGGAGCAGACGCTGAAGATGAGTGAGAATGTCAGGCCCCTGCAGCGCCTGGGAGATCGACAGGTGTTCAGGTCCCGGGCTCCAGGACAGCTGCTGGCCTTGCCCCTGCCCACCCTGTTGGTTCCCACACTGACCTGCCTGATGGTTGGCTTCCTCTGGTAACAACTCGGTTCTGGACTTACGACCCCTAACCTTAACCTTTAGAGGACCTGACTTCCGTTCCTTATGCTTCCCAGACTGGACTTTGAAGATGATTTAAAATATGGATATATTTTTGGAGAAACCTTTCTGAAGTCTGTTTGTTAGCTCCGTCCAACAACATATCCCCACCTGTTTCTAGGTAGGAGACTTCAGGCCTAGAGATTTCTTCCCCACAGGTACCATCCATTACCCCCATCCCCTGCCTCTGTGAATTCCCTGTCTACATCCCGCCCGCTTCTACTCTGGCCTCAGAGAGTAGAAGGCACCATGGAACACAAACACACTGAATGCTGGTGGAGTTTCAGCCCCATCTGTCCATCTTACAGTTGGAGGATCGGAAACCCAGAAAGGAGAGGCCAGACGGGGGCCACGTATCAGGGCCAGACCTGAGCTGACTGAGGCACCTGGCCAGGTGGTATAGTGTAGGGTAGGGTGGGTCACAGGGAATTCATTTGTTTGCTCAAATATTTCTTGAGCATCTATGTTCTGTGCTCTGGGGATATGGTAGGGAATAAAACAGTCGAAAATACCTGCCCTCCAGAAGTTCACAGTCCAGTGGAGGAGAGACTATAAATAAAACAGACACGTTGCCTAGGACATCAGGAGGCAGTGAGTTCTGCGGAGAAGGGCAAATCGGGGAAGGACAAGTGTAGTTTACGAGGGTGTGGGGGAAGGGGCATCAGGAAGATGGGAGGGAGGCCAGGGAAGGAGGCCATCTGGAGACAGCCAGTGTTTAGGCTTTTGAGGGAGGAAGAGAGCCTGTGGGAAGCAGCAGGGAGGCCAGTGGGTGGAGGAGGGGAAAGCAGAGCAGCAGAGCTGGGTGTGGAGGGAGTGGAGTGGCCAGAGCATTGGATTCTTGTAGGATCCTCTAATGCTGGAGCCTCCGGAGAGTGGAGGGTTGGAGCTGTGGGACCTGGTCCGGTTGCATTGTAGAGCTGGCTGTAGAGGGGACAGTGGAGCAGGGGCTAGCTGGAGCAGGGGCCAGTGCCCAGGCCAAAGCCCAGAAGCAACACTGGGTCAGCAATGGGATGTGAGGGAAAGAGGAACCTGGATGTGTCAGGGAAGAGTCCCCAAAACAGCACCACCATGGACATTGTATCTTTAGTATTTTTTTTTCACCCTCCTAGAGCCCGATGAGGGAGACCATAGGAGGCAGATGGGGAGGGGTTAGTCCCCAAAACCAGGAGGTAGGAAAGAAGAGACCCACAGGTAGCCTGAGGGGCCCTGGGGTCCCAGGTTCCTCATTCTGGGCAGGGCTGACTTTTGGAGGACCAAGAGCCTTCACAAGTGGAGAAGGGAAACCAGGCCTTGTGGAGAGATTAGGAGACCCAGGGGCCAGGGCCAGGGCCAGGCTGTGCTGGCTTGGGGTGGGAGTCCCTCTGGAGTGGTTAGCTATTCCCCAGGGAGCAGTTAGTTAGCTACTCCCCAGGCATGCAAGTGAGGAGGACGCATGAGTCCCAAAGGCCTGGCTGGCTATGGACCTAGGGAGGGGAGCCAACTGGAGGGGGTGACCTGTGAGCCTTCTCCCACGGTGACACCCTGAGCCCCTGGCCACCTCCAACTTAACCAGGGGGAGAGAGAAAAGAGCTGCCTCCTTCTTCCCACCCTCTCCTCTCTTTTCCATTTTTGATCAAGAAGAAGTACCCTCCCCCTTCCCAGTGACCACACGGCTGTGGGGGGTGGCTGTTGTCATGGCAACAGAAGGCAGCCTGTGTCAGCAGGGTGTGTGGGGACGCTGAGATTGTTCTCCTACTGTTCCCACGCAGCCAGTGGGGGGTCCTCCCCAGGCTCCAGACTCTGAGGCCAGAATTGCCCCTCCCTTTGACACCCCCTGGTCCCTGTCCTCAGGTTAGCCTCCAGTGAACAGTGTGGCAACAGAACCAGGAAGCCCCAGCTCTTTGCAAGAGACTAGGGGAGCCTTGGCTTTTCCCACCCCCCAGCAGAAGCACAGGACTCTCTCTGGCCCCTGCCCCGGCACCGTAATAAAAACCCAGTGAGCAGGAGGCAGAATGGGTGCAGCTTGTGCAGGGCCCAGGGCTCAGGCCACTTCCTCTCCTGTCTTTCCTGTGGCCTTGAGGCCCGGTAGGTGCTGTCAGCCCACGATTCCTAGCAAGTCAGTCTGCCAGCCACCTCAGGAGCGGGCAGCTGGCTGGAGGCGGAGACTGATGGGCACAGCTTCCTGTGACTGTGTGCTCCTGAAGAGCTGTGGCTTCTCAGGAAATTTACTCCCTCTGTGCTGGCCCAACTGCTCACCTTGGAGAAGGTGGCTCTTGGTTTCATGTGCCCAGCCTGGTCTGGGGATAGGGGCTACCAAAGGCCCTTATCCACAAGGGGGGGCAATGTGGCCCCCTGAGTTCTTCTTTTGCTTTCACCCACCCCTTGAGTGACTGTGTTGGTGTGCACACACACACACATGCACACACTTGCCTGCAGCTGCAGTCCTGGGGACAGCAAAGGGCTGATAGCGTCAGCCACAATCTGATTTCTCTGAGGGCCTTTTCTCGTGGTCTTCAGCACAGAATATGAGACACACTGGTTGACTACCAACTACGTGCCCAGCATGGGCCTCACTGTTTCTATTAGAGATTTCTCCAATTGCATGGATGAGGAAACCGAGGCACAGAGAGGGGTCGGGGAACCTGTGAGAACCTAGGCCAGAGCCTGAGGTCACTCTATATTTCCTTGGCTCCATGGTCAGCTTTCACCTTTAGCAGAGACATCAGGGAAGATGGCATCTGTGATAGGGCAGGATAGGGTCTGCAGGGCCTTGTCCCATCCTGTCTCTGCAGGTTGCTTTCTGTCCCCACTAGGCCACCTCTCTTCTCCCCTGTTTAGGTCTGTCATCCGGGTGGGAGCCAGGGGCTAAAAATATTGTCCATGTGTTTAGATGATTCTTGGAAAATAAACTTCCCCATCTTGGCTCTGGGTTTGCACGCGCGTGCTGGCCCTGCTTCCTGCGGCTCTGATCTGACAGTGTGTAGGGAGGGGGAGGAAGTAGAGGGGAAGGGTTTGTAAGGGGCCAGAGTCATGGGGTGAGGTGGTGCTCATGCGCACATGGACTCAGAGGTTGCTGTGTCACAGAACTTCAGGGGATAGCTGTACAGAGACCCCACTGTGCTCCCAGCATGCGGTAGCCCTAGGCTTGCAGCTTTTCATGTATTGAGTGGGAAGAGTCAGGACAGGGTGGCCTTGCTGGCATGAAGGTATGGCTCCCTGCTCTGGGCCTTGGTTTATGCATCTGTAAAAGGGACTAGGTTTGACCCTCCCATCTAACTGGGCCTAGCCTCTGCTGATGACCTCGGGAAGAAGGCCAGGCCTTGTCTCCATGGGTGGGGCACTGCTCCTGCCCCTCACATTACACGCATCCTAGTGGCTCTGTTTGTTTATCTGAGTAGGGACAAAGGCATGACCTCCTGTTCGGATGGAGGACCATATCCCAGGCCTGGGGTAGGCCCAGGGAGGGGCTTCCTCTGGGGGAGGGTTGCAGGACAGACAAGTCACAAGCCAGTTCCTTCCGCTGAGATTGTACACAGGGGAGGCTCTTCAGTTGTTCTGGAGAGGGACAAAGGAGCAGGACGCAGGGAGGGGGTATTGGGTTCATTTTGGAACAAGTTTTACTTTCAGTAAGATTTAATCTTTTAACAAATACTATTATTTCCTCAGTGCTAAAGACTAAGGATTCAGGGAGAAAAAACAGCCTAGGCCCTTCCTTCAACATTCCTAACTGAAGGTCAGCCGTGTCAGGCACAGTGGGACCAGGTCTATGAAACAGAGGCCAGGAGATGGGTGCAGAAAGCTCAGAACACACGAACCAGAGTTGCACAGAATTGGGGTTGGTCCAGCAACTTGGGAGGCCAAGGCAGGAGGATCCCAAGTTTGAAGACCAGCCTCAGCAACTTAGTGAGATAATATCTCAAAATAAATAATAAAAAGAACTGGGGATATATCAGATGTAGAGCACCCCTGGATTCAATCCCTAGTGCAAAAGAAAAAAAAAAGAAGAAGAAGAAGAAGAACAACAACAACAACTGTGGTTGGATCCCCTTCCACTGCTGAGTAGGCACCTTCAGTAACTTATTTCAGCTGAGCCTCAGTTTCCTCATCTATAAGTAGGGGATGACGATAGTATCTACCATACAGGATTACTGAAAGATGGAACAAGATGCCTGGGATAGAGGACATATTCAATATTTTTGTGGTTATTATCATGATTCTTTTTATTAGAGCACTGAAAGACAGGTAGGACCTATAGACGGGGCCATTGGGAAGAGGCTGGGTTCTGGGGAGTGGCAGTCCTCACCCCTCCAAGGAAGAAACCTCAGCTCCCTCATGGGGCCATCTCTCTGTTCAAACACCCAGGAACATCCCTAGAACTCAGTCCCAACCATACAGAGGTGTCTACTAAGGCAGGCCTCTCAGCCTGACCTTTGCCTACTGTTTATCCAGAACATCAGGGGAGGAAAGGGGACCTGTTGAAGCACATCCTGGGGACAGGGTTGGACTCAGGCTGAACCCGCATGGCTGGAAGCAAGGCCTCTCTGACCCAGGGCCCTTCCTGCTTTCTTGCTGTGGGGATTTGTTAACCTTTGCCCTTCCCCAGAGCCCCAGGGTTGCCGTTTAGGCCCTCTGCATGTCCGGCTCTCTGTCCCTGGCTCTGCCCGAGGCTCGCCTGCCTGTCCTGTCCAGGCAGGCTTTCCCAACACAAGGCCAACACAATGCCCCATCTAGATCAAATACAGGATGCCCAGATGCCTTTGAATTTCTGATAAGCCACCAATAATTCAGTACTATCTCCAGATTGCATGGAAATACTGAAAATATTATTTATTAATTCAAAATTTAAGCTTAACTGGTTGTCTTGGTAGTTTTTATTTACTGGGTCTGGTAATCCTATCCCTGTCCCACCTATCTCAGGGTAACTGAGGCCAAGAGAGAAGGGTAGACACGTGACGGGGACTGGTGGACTGGGACTGCACCACCATTTCTTCCTCCTCTTCTTCCTTCCTCTCTTCAGCTGGCCAGGCCCTCCAGGGACTGACTGATGATAACCTTCTGGTCGAGGGGTTTCCCCTCCTCAGTGAC